TCGTAAATATAAGAAGCACTTGATATCAACAAATTCCTTCAATTGGGTCATGAATCAATCTTCTTCCTCATCAAAACCTTTATTGATTTTTGTATTTATATAGTTTTGCTTCATAAAGGAACATTCTTCACATGATCATTACTCTTAACACCCCGGATCACAATATGTTAAGCAATCATAAACAGTAGTCCTTCATCAAATGTGGGGCTTGGGCTTGTTTTTACTTCAAAACAATACACCCCCCTGACAAACCAGTTCAAATTGTAATTTGCTACGGAAAAGGAAAACAAATTAAGCGCTTTAAGAACTAGAGCAGAAAGAAACTTGAAGGAAATAACTTCCTACATGTGACAACTAAAGGCCTAAGAAGAGAACACAAAGAAGGAAGCAGAACAAAGCATGTTGCAAAAGTTAATCAAACCAGCAATTAGAAACCTTATTTTGCCAATCCTAAAATCTTGCTTTGCAATAACTAGTAATCCAAAAAAGAAGAAGAAGTCCTATCAGTTGCTTGTTCAACATAAAACTGAACTCTTTTCATGCGTAAGACAACTTTTAGCCACACATATGTTTAACTAGACTGACCAACAAATTTTGGCTCGGACAAAGAACGGGAAGCTCATGCTCAATACAAATAAAACTAAAACAACTAAGACATACATAATGTAGAATGTATAAACTTCATTAAAATATAGTAAAACAATACCAACCCTGTATAGTAGTCTTTGGGAATATAAACATCCCTAACAGGCCCAAATCTCTCGAAAGGGATACGAAGTTCTTCCGGCCTGCAAACGTAATCAAACACAAATTAAAACAAATCATTTAACCAGCATTTAGATAATAGGGAAAAAAAGGGGTACCTGCAATCTAAGGGAATGTTTTTAACCAAAAGGCTTCCCTGATTCTGCTCCCTCCTTCTGCCATAACCGCCGCCACCATATCCCCTCCTAGGAGGACTTCTTTGTCTACCTCCATAGCCTCTCCTGGGGGGACTGTAGTATTGTGGACTGTATCTCCTCATCCCCAAAGCCTTTCAAAAACACAGACCATTAAACTACATTTATATATCATTCAAAAGAAGAAAACAAAATTCACCCATCTAACCTTGTTCTTTTATTATTTTGAGAGAAGCCTAGATCCCCCCCCCCCTTTTTTTTCCAAATAAGGTTTTGCTAATTCACGCAATGCAATGCTCAATAAATATAATCCATGAAAAACGATAAAATTAATTAATTCATAAAATAACAAGATAAAAAATATTTCACAATTATGAAAAATGATAAAGATTCAAACCAATAGTCTCAGATTTTCTGTTTGGTTGGTGAGAAAATTGAAGGAAAAAAAGTTATTTGAGCATCGACTTAGTCGACCTAAACTATACTCCGGAAAAATCAAATTCGTATAACAAAAAATAACAAGAAAATGCCCAAAAATTATTGAATTTGGAAGAACGTAGATTTTACCTTGAAGACTGAATTTGAAACAGCGACAGAATAGAAATGAAAGGTTTCTCTTGGGAATTTTGAGATATAACGTACCAGTAGCGTGCTATTGCTTTATTTTGGATCGCATTGTTGGGCCTAGTCGGCCCATTTGTTTTAGCCATTTTTTAATATTTAATAATTATTATTTTATTACTTCTTAAATAATTTTTAACAAAATTGTATAATAAAATTTAAATTTATTTTATAATAAAATAATTTATTTTTATTTTTATTTAAACAGTAATTTTATTAAAAATATTTACATTGTTATAACTTAAAAATAGAAATTAAAGGATTAAATCTTCAAATTATATTTTAATTAAATTTTAGTACACTTGATTCAGATAACATTTTCAATGTATATTCTAGATTTTAAATCTATTAAAACTCTAGGTAAAATTTGGTCAAATCTAACATTTCTTTGATTCTTTAGATTCTTTAGATGAAAATACAAACTTAGGATTTAGATCCATTCCTATTAGACGTACAACTCCAAATAAGATTTTTAACGATTCTGATAATTCTTTGAGCTTTAGACGAAATGTATGTAATTCATTATCTTCAGAATTCAGTTCGTCCGTGAGATTATCGATATTTTTTTAAAACATCAGCATAACGTCCCTCAAACTCAGACTTGTTATAATTCTAATTCAAGATAAAGGTATTGAACCTTTAATCAAGCTTCTTCAACACAACACCTAGGTTATTGAAATTAGAAACAGCCTATAAAAGAAGCCAATTAAATAAATTAGTATAATTTATTCTGAAAAGTCATAATACCTAAAAATACAAGATACAACTTACCGCATTAGCATCAGAATAACCAATAACATCAGGTAACGAAGATATTGGGGAATTATTACAGTTTTTCTAGTAATCTTTCGCTCTAATACCAATTACAGGGGTATGGTGTGAAAATATTTTTACGAAGATAGAGGATGATGATACAAAAGACAGAGAACGAAATATTACAAGAGAAAACTTAAGAAAACATAAGATGGAGAGGAAAACAGTAGTGTAAGGTGACGCCTTGCTTGTTTGCAAGCTTCTTTTTTTTGGATATGTAGATTTTATTACCCAAGTAAGAATGGTTCATAGTACAACAGTCATCCCTATTAGGAGTATAAACACATATTTACAAACAAAAGGCTTAGTCTATACCCCAATAATTACAAAGTCTAGAATTAACATAATCTAGTATGTTAGTATTCTTGTCACTGAGTTTGATTCGAACTTGCTCCTTTATAGACGTGAGAAGTTGATCTGCAGTTCTAGATCCTCTCTTGAAAAGTCTTCTATTTCTTTCCTCCCAAATGAAGTATATAAAAGCAGTCCATGCGATCCTCAAAATGGTGGAAAGGAGAGATTTACCCTTCCAAGTTTGAGTAGCCCATTCAATCCTTGATTCCCATGACCTGTGTGTATCTCTCATGCTAGAAAGATTCATTATAGAATTCCAAAGAGAAGTAGCATAAATACAGTCAACAAACAAATGATTTCTGGATTCAAGATCCTCATTGCACAAAATACAAAGACTATCAGTAATAATTCTCATTATAATTAGTCTATCTCGAGTAGGAAGGCGATCCAGAATAGCCATCCATGAGATTATGCTTAGCTTAGGGATGTGAAGAGGAAACCAAATCACTTTATGCCAAGAAACTTTGTCTCTATGAAGTCTAATATTATCCCAAATTTCTTTTGTTTTCGTGGTGTCAGCAGTAACATTTGGGAGGATTTATCTTCTAATTTTCACGAGTTTCCTTATGGTCCAGCTAATGGAAGAGTTAACTTTGACATCGCTTTGGTCGTTATTTTTAATAACATAGCAATGAATCCATGCGACCCATAAAGAACCCTCTCCAGCCAGAATTTTCTGAATGAGTTGGATCATGCAGGCTTTATTCCAGGAGTGAATGTTCTTCAACCCGAGACCTCCTTTAGATTTGGGACAACAAAGTCTGTCCCAGCTGATCCTAGCACCTTTTGCAGTTGTATCATTACCTTTCCAAAGAAAACGAGAGCAAAGTTGTTCTATACGATTAATAACTTTCTGAGGGAGGATAAATTGCCTACTCCAGAAGTTAATAACACTGTATAGGACAGTTTTAATAAGCTTAAGACGCCCAGCATAGCTTAAAAGTTTTCCCAACCAATGATGAAGCTTAAGTTTGATATTATCGAAGAGAGGAAGACAGTCTTTTGCATTTAGTTTACGAGTGACAAGAGGAACTCTGAGATATCTAACAGGCAGAAAGCCTTGTTTAAAGCTGGTGACAGATTTAATGGAGTCCAGGGTTCTAGCAGAAATACCAGCAGCATAGAATTCAGTTTTGCTAACATTGAGGTTAAGACCAGATAAAGCATATAAATGGTTAAGGACGCTAGTAACTCCAACAATAGAATCAAGATTACCTTTACAAAATATCAAGAGGTCATCAGCAAAAGATAAGTGAGTAATACCAAGTTTTTTGCACTTAGGGTAGTAACCAAAGATTCCTCTAGCTGCAGCAAGATTGAGGATTTTAGAGAGAATATTCATAGCAATCACAAAAAGGATAGGAGATAAAGGGTCTCCTTGTCTAATGCCTCTCTGACCCTTGAAGTACCCTATTAGACTACCATTAAAAGAAATGGAATATCTAGCTTCTTTGAAACAATTATCAATCCATCTTGTAAAAATAGGAGGAAGCCCTATGGCTTTAAGAATGGAGGATATGAAGTCCCAATTAAGAGAATCAAAGGCTTTTTGAAGGTCAATTTTTAAAGCGCATCTTGGCGAAATATTCTTTCTTCCATAGCCTTTCACTAATTCTTGAGAAAGAAGGGTGTTGTCAATAATAGATCTACCTTTCACAAAAGCAGTTTGGTTAATGGATATAAGGTCAGGCAGAAGCATAGTCATTCTTTTGACAAGGATTTTTGTTATAGTTTTATAAACTACCGAACAACAAGAGATAGGTCTATAATCCTTAACTTTGCTAGGATTCTGGATTTTAGGGATCAAGGCGATAATGGTAGAATTGAAAGCATGAAGGATATTAGAATCTTGAAAGAAGTATTTGACAGCGTTAACAAAGTCTTCTCCTACGACAGCCCATGAATGTTTGAAAAAAAGAGGAGTGAAACCATCAAGGCCTGGCGTTTTGTCATTCTCTTGATTAAATAAAGCCTCTTTGATTTCTTCTGTAGTGACTGTTTTAATCAGGTCATTAGCAACCTCATTAGGCAGATGAAATTGGAGTAGGTTTCTCAATGAAAAAGGGTCAGAAGAGATAACTTTAAGATCAATGGTGTCAAGTTGATTTTTGAAGAAATCAATAATTTCATTAGCCATATTATCATAAGAATCTAGCCTTTTCCCCTCATTATTAATAAGAATCCTTATGGTGTCTCTTTTGTTTTTAGAGGCAATGACAGAATGAAAAAATTTAGTGCATTTGTCACCTTCTTTGATCCATTGAACTTTTGATTTTTGTTTAAGGAACAAGTACTCAGCATCCTCTAAATCAATCAGCTCCTTACTCTAGTAGAGATATCACTATAGTTATCCTTGTTAAGCTTCTGTAAGCAAGGCTTAAGGCGTTTAAGTTTGAGGAACAACTTCTGCATAGGGTTTCCTTGAGAAGGTTTCTGCCAGGAATGAAGGACATGTTCAAGGAAATTTGGGTGCTTGGACCAGAAATTGAAAAATTTAAAAGGCTTAGGCCTGTTAATTTTAATCTCTTTGTTGATCCAAGTAAGAGGCATGCAGTGATCAGAAGGGCCAGGAGCAGTAAATTCAATAAAGGAATTTAGAAAAGAAGTAGCCCAGGGGGGGTTAATCAATACTCTATCGAGTTTCCTTGCAAGAAATGTGTCTTTTTGCTTATTGCTCCAAGTGTAGGTAGGGCCAAAGAAAGGATGATCAAAAAGAGAAAGCTCTTGAACCAATTCTTGGAAGTCATTCATTTCAGAGGATGAATAAGATCCAATAATTAGAGAATCATAACTTTCCTTGTGATGAAGATAGGTATTAAAGTCACCTCCCAGACCCAAAATATAGTATCAAGGTTCCTAAGGTGCTGCCAGAGAAATCTTCTAGAAGAACCGCTATTACTACCGTAGATAGCAGAGATAATGAAAGGTATATTATTGTAGAGACATTTAGCAGTAATACTTTGATCCGTAGTGTGACAGAGAGAAATGTCGATTCCTTTTTTCCAGAGAAGCCATATTCTACCATTATTAGCAAATTCATAGTTGGTGTCAATACACCTTTTTCGTCCTACTAGGATTCAAACTCCTAAAAATAGGATAGAATTTTAGGATTCAAACTCCTAAAGATATGATAGAATTTTGCTAGGATTCAAAAAATAGGATAGAATTTTATGATTTAAACTCCTAAAGATAGGATCCACAAACACTATAAATAGCCATTGTAACTCACGATTGACAGACGATTTACACACAAAAATAGAGGAAAGCACGAGAAGATACAAAGGCAAAGCTATTGTAAACGATTCGAAAAATAAATAAAAGGTAGTATCTTTTTTACTTTTGATTTGGTCTCTTACATTTACGTTTTAATTATTATTATTTTATTTATTTAACTTTATTTATAAGCACATTTCCCTTGTTACTCACTTTATTTAATTGTTTTGTTATTTTTTTTTTCATGTAATATTTTTTTACATTTTATGTATTTTCTTTTTTACTTTAGTATATATTTTTATTTTTTTTAGATTATATATATAAAAATATTATTTTTTATTATCAGTTTTATTAATTTATATATATATATTTACTTTTTTTTATTTTTTATTTTTTATTTTATATATATATATTATTTTTACTTTTTTATTATTATTTTATTTATTTGTTTTATTTCTATATTTTATTTCTTTTTTTTTTCTTTTTTTTTATATTTATTTTACTTACTATTTTATCTTTGTTTTCTTTATCTTATCTTTTATTTAATTTGTTTTCTCTTTATTTTAATTTAATTAATTTATTTATTTCTTACCTTTTTATCTAACATGATTTTTTGACCTTCTTAAGGCCACACCTTTAAAACTATCTAAGGTAAGTAATTGTGATCGTATTTTTACCTTTTAATTTTAAATTACAATTTTCTTAATTTAAGACAACCGGCAAATTACGTAGTACCGAAAGGGCGGTTCAAGGGTGCTAATCCTTCCTTGACCGTAATCGACTCCCGAATCCGACATATCTTTGGTAAGACGCAGATCAGGTAAGATATAAGGTATCCGATTAACCTATTTATTTTTTAAATAAATAATCGGTGGCGACTCCAATCACATTTTTCAAGTCGAAGCCCAATTCCGGGGCCCAACCGAAAGACGGTTACGACAGCTTGGCGACTCCGCTGGGGACCGTAACTGAGTCAGGCTAAGGTAATTTCCAGTTGTCTTTTTAATGAAAAGGGTAAGTTTAAATTTTAAGGTAACATTTCGATCCTTATTGCTTACTTTTGATTATATTTTCGAAGTAAATAGTTGTACTGACCGTTTTTAATGATTTCAGCCCTTAAAGATTTTTCATCCAAAGGCTCTATACCCGAGCTCCGAACCCTATTTAAGTGGGGGTGAAAGCGACGCCTTCGTGTGAATTTATTCTCCGTATGGGCCTAACAAGTAACCTTCGGGATTCATATACCTTATGCCTTCGTGTGAATTTATTCTCCGTATGGGCATAAGGGAATGTTTCCTCTCGAGTTTAACTTAGTCCACACAAGCCTGTGATGGGTTTAGGACTAAGGGTCTGGCAAGCCCAAGGGGGCACCAGCAAGGAGAACTCGGGTACCATTTTTTAGCACCTAAACCGGGAGACCATGGAGAATTAGAGCCCACCCCAAAATCTCATTCCAAACCCTAGACTGCTTTGTTTCCTACTTTAGTTTCTGTTCAAAGCATGCGAACTAGACAAATATGCGATTAGGATTTGTTTGAAAGTAGCATGCGGGATAGAGATCATGTCCGGGTAGGAATAATAAGCATGTGGGGTAGATATCATGTGGGGTAGGACTTTCATTTTTATGATCGTTTTTTATTTTTTTTCACCTCACTAACTCTTTTCATCTTTCTTTTATTATATTTTCATCACTTGCATCATAAAAGAGGTCATTGATCCACTAAAACGTGTTTGTTAAAACTCGAATAATCTGAATCCATGGACAAAGGTATTGTAATACAAGAGATTAAAAACCCTGAGGTACGACTATGGTCCGAGAAGACTCAGAAAGAAAAGGGAGACAGTCTTCAAGGAAGCTATGTGTCAGTGCTGGTTAGCTACGCCTCTATCAACCTAAAACAGAATAATGTGCAAGAACTTCGAGACATCTGAGATAGTTGGAAGAATGATCGGAAATAGAAGTTCAGTCAGCGGTATGGTGACATTGCATTTTTGCTTCATGTTAAGACCGATAAGCCCTTAATCAGAGTCTTGGTTCAATTTTTGAACCTGGGATACAGTTGCTTCACTTTTAACCAGGAGGACATGGTACCTACCATCGAGGAGTATACTACACTATTGCACTGTGAAAGCATTAAACTGGAGCGAGCCTACATCAAACACATCAAGAGTCAGCCTTTCAAGAACGGACTGGCTAAGATTGCAAGAGTTGATGAAAAACGGGTGACTGACCGACTCCGAAACAAAGGTAACGGGCAAGACTATAGACCTTTTTGCACTAGGTCTGTATGGCTTGATCATCTTTCCGAAGGTTTTAGGATGCATTGACGCAGCCGTGGTGGAACTGTTTGAGCAACTTCCGAAACGAGTCAACCCATCACCGACCATCTCAGCCGAGACCTTTTGGTCTCTCAACCATTGTCGAAGAGCTGGCGGAGGTAGATTCATTGAATGTGTTCAGTTCCTTCAAGTCTGGATTCACATCCACTTCTAGAAGACTAATGGGGTTGCCTACTGTAGATTTAACACTACGTATTCACCTTTGAGAGAGTTCATCACCATGACAGGATATGAAGGCGCTTCAAAAGAGAAATGGATGAAAGTATTCACTCATCTACAGGACCGGGATATTACCTGGAGAGCCCCCTGGTTGTTCCTCAGTGATGTTCTTTTCAAGTGTGGGAATTCTGACACTATGACCCTATTTGGACTTTGAGGTACAGTTGGGTATGCTCCGTTGTTGGCACTTAGACAGTATGGGGCACATCAGTTTGTCCCAGCAACATATGGATTATCTATATCAGAGTTTATGTATCACGGTGACAGTTATAAGAAGATGATCAAAGTAGCAGTCGAGTCATGGAAGAAAGTATCTCGGATGGATGTCTAGAAGATTTAGTCCGAACATACCTTTTATTGTTTTTATGTCTCTTACAAGATAAAACATTTTTGTCTGAATAAGGATTATTTATGATAATGGACACTTTTCTGGATCAATGCCTCGAACATTTCGTGCATTCTTGCATTTTGCATTTTTGCCTTTTTGCATTTTCATCTACATTTTAAGCATTTTCACAAACATGAAATTAAGTCGTGAAGGACTCGATGAAGCGAATTTAACCACATGGAAGCAAGATTGTAACAGTAGGAGCCTGATCAGCTGATTGTAGGACAAAGCTTGCCAGGATGATCTAAGAAAAGAATCCCCATATCCTAAGGGCCACGATGTTGAAGCTGCTAGCTGTTACCACGTAAGAAGCCCCAAACATTCCTCTGAAACCTGTAAGGCGCTTGCCGAAGAAGGGGGCATGGCATATACCATTTGCACTTAGAGGATTGTTTTGTTTGAACACGTCTTTGATCTTTCGCTTAATCTGTTAAATGATTGAATTTATGCTACTTTCTAAGGTAGAGCAATTGAACAAATTTTAATCTTTAGTTCTTCGAATATTAAATGAATTAAGGATTCTTTTAATTCTTCAAGAATTATAGATTTTTGACATATGACAAGATTAGACCTTTCTTATCCTGTCTCAAACCCCCAAAATGAAATACCTTGATCAAAAAACCAAATTTTGACATTACCTCCATTTGAAATTCTTGAACATTACCTTTATCTTTTTGATACACCCACACCTTTCTTTGAGTCAATAAGATCACACAACTGTCTTTTTAGACTCAAAATTAACATTTTTTTACCATTAAAACCCAAGGCATTGAGTTGTTCATTTGAACATGAGCATTCTTCCAAGATACAGTTTGGGGCATCTCGCCAGGAGCCTGAACATTGAGACATGTTGGGAGCAAGGAGCAGAAAAAATAATTCATTCGAAATAATTCTATCATGCATTAACTACACTGTTTTCATGTGAATAGAATTAATCCTGAAAATCTATCCCCCTGGGATACCTCTTCTGTGAAGACTTACATGTATGAAATGATGAACGACTTTCTTTCTTTATCCCTTCACAATAGGAGAAAATATATATCCCTTGCGTCCCCTTTTGAGCCTATAGTATTATTTTTTCTTCTGATTCAACCCTAACCAAGGATCACCCTCCACACTAGGGGGCAAGGTGGAGAAAATCTGCTCACATGAGTGAAGACATTGATTCAGATGAGATACCGAAAGGTGAACCAAATGCCAAGTGCGATGATTCAATTAGAACAAAAAGGGCAAAAAGAAAAAAGAAAAGAAGCAAAAAAGGAAAAAACAAGAACAAAAAAGAAAGAACAAAAATAAAAAAGGGAACAAAAAGCACATGCAAAAATTCCCTAAAGACAAATGGTGCATCAAGCTTCAATGAGATTGATCAAACACAATCATTCCTGAATCACTGAATCCCTTCACTCGAAGATCATAGAGCATCAAGAGAAAGAGACATTTTGAGTAAGACAAGATCGATGGCATCAGAATGAATTGATCCTTGGTTCAATACCCTGAAACACTTGGTTGGGCCTATTTATCCTTTTCTTTCATAACCACGAACCTTGGCCTACATTACGTGCCTTAAAAGTCCCTTCTAATCATACATGGA